CGCAGAACCTCCCTCTCATCCACAATTTTCCACTTCCCCAAGTAATTCATGACCATTGTAGAAGACTTAAAAGAAGAAAAAAAAAATCAAAAAATAAACAAAAATCACCCACATGTCCAGCGCGAAGGATTAGCTCTGTAAACATTTCGAGGCGGCCGTCTGATCTCTCTGTTAAGTGGGTGAGGGGCACGCGGACACGTAATTATCTGCCTGAGTCTGGTACTACGCTATAGCTTTATACCATTTTCCCTTTTGACTGGCTAAGTTTCTAGGTTGTAAGTGATTCTTTTTTAAAACGGGGCGGGGGGGGGCGAGAGATAGTACAGGTCTTAAGCTTGCCTTGCCCACTGCCAACCCTGGTATCTCTAATACTGCCTGTGGACTCTCCGAGCACTGCCAGGAATGACGTCAGCGCAGAGCCAGGGCTAAGCCCTGAACTCAGCTGGGTGTGGGCCCCAAAGCTCAAGATAAATAGTAATAAGCCATGCTTTCTGGATTTTGTTTATATAGATAGAACTCACACAAGCACACCGTACTACATTCAAAAAGAACAAAAGGTGGTTAGGATTGAATTTGCCTTGCACGTGGCCAACTGGGGTCTGACTCATGTGGACCCCTGAACCCCACCACGGAGTGAGTGCAAAGCCGGGAGTAAGCCCTGAGCACTACCAGTGTGGCCCCAAAGCCAGGTAAAAAAGAAGTCTTGTCTCCAACCTACCCCTCAGTCACCATGTTCCTTCCCCAGGAGAATTCTGATGTCCTGTGTACCCATCTTTGAAAATCATTTAGCAGTGGGGCCGAAGCAACAGTACAGAGCGGTAGGGTAGCCCTGCACGCAACGACCCAGGCTCAATCCCCGCTCCCCATACGGCCTCCTGAAGGTGCCAAGAGTGATCCCTGAGCACAGAGTCAGGAATAAGCCCCTGGAGCACAGCCAAAAACCAAAGGGAAAAAAGAAAGAAAGTCCAGTCAGGACCCAGGGACAGCTCAGAGCGAGAGAATCTGCATTACGGGAGTAAGGCCATGAGTTCCAACCCTGGTGCTACCCCACATGCCATGCGCTCCAAGTGGCACTGCTGGTGACCACCGCGCCCATACCATAACCAAGTGTGCGATAGCCAGGCAATCACAACTAAACTGCATGGTTCCCCCCCCACCCCGCCCAGTCACACAACAGGAGTGTGTGCCCCTGGTCACTGAAACAACAGCAGCAACACAGGGACGGGAGGTAAAAGGGTCAATCTTCAACCCAACCCGCTCCGTTACCCCTCAGACAGCCTCCCAGGTCACAAAACCCACTCTGGGGCAGGAGCGATAGTACAGCAGGGAAGGCCTTGCCCGTGTCCAAACCGTGTTAGATCCCTGGCACTGGAGCACCACCAACGATGATCCCTGAGTGCTGAGTCAAGAGTGCTCCCGGGAGCACCACCAGCAGTCATCCCTGAGTGCTGAGCCAAGAGTGCTCCCGGGAGCATCACCAGCAGGGATCCCTGAGTGCTGAGCCAGGAGTAAGCCCCGAATATTGCCAGTATGGGCCCCAAACCAAAGAACAAAACCAAACCCAGACTCCTAGCTTTTTTTTTTTCCAGGTTCTGTCACTGGCATCTCGATCTCTCCAGAATGATCTACTAGGGATTGGAGAGACAGTACAGCAGGTAAGACACTTGCCTTGTGCATGGCCGGCTCAGGTTCACCCCCCGGCACCCCATATGGTCCCCTGAGCCCACCAGGTGTGATCCATGAGCGCTGCCAGGTGTGACCCCCCCAAAACAAAACCCAAGCAGACTGGCCTGCTCCTGGGGCCCTCAGTTCCGTTGCTCCTTCTCCCCAAGAAGGCTTTGCACAGTCCGGCCCCTGGTGTCAGCAGCACCATGCCCTCCCCAGCGGGGACCCCACACCACGCACACACATGCCTCACCTTACATGCAGCATTTCTTCACATCACAGGTGAGCAGATACTGTCCTGGCTCTTTATTGCCAGGAGCTCCCTGCCCAGCTCCTTGGGGGGCAGACAGACTCCCAACTGGTTCTGCCCCAACCCCCAGGGCCTAGCACAGGGCCTGGCGTCTCAGGCACTCAACAAAGTTCTGCTGAAGACGACCACCAGGCTGTCCTCAGTGAAAACTGCCCACTTGCAGATCACGAAGCCTTAAGAACCAACTGGGCTGGAGCAAGATAGCGCAGCGAATAGGGTGCTTGCCTCGGCGACAGCTGACCCAGGTTCCATCTCTGGCACCCCAGAGGGTCTCCTCACACCCAGCACTACCAGAAGCCCTGAGCACTGCCAGGTGTGCCAACCCCAAACCCACCCCTGACCCCCCAGAAAGAAATCATCTTTCTCAGCCATATCTTTGCCCTTCCTGGTCCTCAACGCCTGCTACGGGGTTAGAGGTCAGGAAAGAGGAAGCATCCTCAAGCAGTGGGGCTAGGCAGAAGTGACTCTTCCGGTTCGCCAGCTCACTGCTTATGAGGGTAGCATTATTCGCAGGGTCCAGAATCAGACCCCGAGCGCGTGACAAACCCAGATTCCCTGCAACTGCAAGCGGAAAGTTAGAGGTGAAACTTTTCCCCTCACTTACCCCAAATTCCACATCGACAGCCAGCCAGCCAGGCGTTGGGTGTTCTTAGCTTTCCCAGTGAGCCCTGGAGGCAGGCGACGCAGACACTGCCACTGCCCAAGAGCCCTACTCCCACAGGAGCAGCCCCCCGCCCAGCCCACCTGCCTCTGCCCCGGGGGACCCAGACTCCTGGGCTCCTCTCTCCGGAAATCCAGCAGCCCCAGAGACACAAGTGCACATCCAATCCGGAGCCAGCAGCCCAGGCCAGGACACTGCAGGGATGCCCTTGAAGGGACGCTTCCTTCCTGGCTAGCCCCCTCCCAAGCCCCCATTCCCAACGAGAAAGCAGTATCAATGGGGCTGAGAATGATTTGCAGGAGTGAGGAGTGACGGAGGAACCTTTTGCACAGGGGGGAAAAGATGAAAGAGTTAACACGCTGGTGGTATTTATCGGACAAGGTGCAAGATGGGAGCGTGGAGAACAGAGAAGCCAGGGAAGCAGTGTGAGCCTGCCTCCTGCCCAGACACGGAAAATTATTATAATTGATTAAATGAGCCCAGCAACAGAGGGCAGTGGAATCACAGGGGAAGACCGTAGAAGCAACTAACATTTCTCCAGCACTTGCTCTAGGAGTCCAGAGGCCTTTGGCCATCCGGGGCAGTTGTGAGCAGGTATTGTTTATACTCAACCCCGCAGACAGAGACGCAGTCAGCTGCGGGCCAAGAAGCTCAAACTGCTGGGGATCTTGTTGCCAGTGGAGTAACTGAGACCTGATTCCAGAGCCTTGGCCAGGGCACTATGCTTGACTCTAAGTGGCCCAGCCCGGAGCGGGGTGGGAATCAGCAGCTTCCAAGTGCCCACCCGTGGCCGGTTTCCAGCCTGTCTTTGCACATGGAGCATATATATATATATATATATATATATATATATATATATATGTATATATGGAAAGTTTAGAGACCCGCCCGGCTCACCGCAGAATTAGGATAGAATTAGGACCCAATCTCAACTTCCTGTGAGAGCACGGTGGGAACCCGGGGTCTCTGGAAACCACAGCCGGTAGCAGCATCTTTTTTTGGCTGTCTTTCCCGAGACCCCCTTCACCAGCTCCAGAGCACCAGGCGCCCTGCCCGGAAATTCCCACAGAGTCAAAGCAAACTTCCCAGGAAAACTCCTCGGCTTCCTCCTCCTCGCCCCCGTCACAGGAGGCGGCTGCCAAAAGCGCTGCTGGAGTCGTTGCAGCTGCCGGCGGCCCACCCGGGCGGGAGCCGCTGCCCGTGCAACTCGGGGTCCTCCCGGAAAGGTCCAGGGCTGAAGTTCAAAATGCGCTTCCCGCCCAGGCACGGCTCGCGGCCCCGCCCGGGGCTCTCGTCCACCCCCCACGTCCCCGTCCTCCCCAGCGCGGGTGAAAGGGGGCACCTCCTGCTTGGAGGCGGCGGCACAGGCGGGCGGGCGGGTGGGCGGGCAGCCGGGAGAATCCCGCGGGCGACCCCCTGCGTGTCTGGGGACTGCGAACTGCCGGCGTGCGTGCGTGCACACACACGCGCGCACACACACACACGGCCGGGGGTGAAGCCGCCGATGCGCACACACGGACACACGCGCGCGTGTGCGTGTGCGCGCTTGAGTGTGTGTGTGTGTGTGTGTGTGTGTGTGTGTGTGTGTGTGTGGTGTGTGTGTGTTTACGTACGGAACGCGCGGGGTGGGAAAACAATGGCGAGCCGCCGGGAACCCGGCAACTAGCCCTCCTCCCCACCTCCTCACCTCCCTCCCCGCCGGGCGCGATTTGCATTTGCAGTGAAATCGGGGTGGGGGGGAAAAAGAAAAGATTCACCTCCGACGTGCAAAGGCGGAAAAAAAAATGGGGCTGGGGGGGAAAGGGGGGACCGGCTCCGGGCTGGAACGGGAGGGAGCAGCGGCGGGAGCAGCCAACAAACCCGAGGCGGTGGCGGCGGCAGCAGCAGCAGCAGCAGCAGCAGCGCCGGGCCGGCCGGCCCGGGTGGGAGCGGAAGGGTGCCCGGGGCGGCGCGCGCGCGGCCGGCACCCCACGCCGCCGGGACCCGGGGCGCGGGGTGCGCGGGGGTCTGCGCGCGCGGCCAGCGCCCGCACCCGGTTCGCCGGGGGCTTCCGCCGGGCTGCCCGGCCGCAAAGAGGCTGCTCAGCGGGGCCCGGGGCTCGGCCCCGGGTGGTGCGCGCCGTCACCCCCAGCCTCGCCAGGCTGCCCTCCCTCCGCACCGGGGCCCCGGGGGTGCCCGCGAGGAGCCGCTGCTGGCCTCGCCGTCGCGGGTAGAAGGGCGGGGGGTGCACCCGTTCCTCCTCGATCTAAAACTTTGTCGAGCACGCCAGGCGGCCGCGCGTGTGGCCCCGCAGCGTGGAGGGGGGGCGCGAGTGTCAAAACTTCCGAGGGTGGGGACGGGGCGCGCGGCAAGGGGCGCACTTACTATCCGCCGGGCGCTCCTGCAGCTCCGGGCTCCGGGTCCTCGCGGCGGGCAGCCCCGGCTTCCCGCTCACATGCCCCGGCGGGGCCGCAAGGGGGCACGCCCCCCGCCGTCCGTCGGCCGGCCGGGCAGTGAGTCGCCGGCCCACTCGCGGCCACCCGGGCTCCGCGCGCCGCGACGGGCCGGCGTCCGGGGCGGGCGGGCTGGGTTCCGGCCGGGCGGCGCCGCCGCGGCCGCGGCCAGGCCGCTCTCCGCACTCTGCCCTCTGCCCCCGGCCCGCCAACGCGCGCCCGCCCGCACCGGCGCTCGGGCTCCGCGCCCCGCCGCGATCGCGCCCGGCCCCGGCGGCCGACGGCGGCGCCCCCGAGCGCGGAGCCCGGCTCGCCGCCCCGGGCCGGCCGGCGGCACCCGCGCGCGCGCGCGCACACTCCGGTCCCGAGCCGGCCGCTCCCGCTCGCGCCGGCGAGGCGACTCCACCGCCAGCCTCGGAGGAGAAAGAGGGAGGGAGACAGCGCGAGCGGGGGGGAGGCGGAGGGAGGAAGGGTGGGGAGAGGGAGAGGGAGGGAGGGAGGGACACAGAGGTCCCTCCTCCTCCTCCTCCTCCCTGCAGCCAGGTCCATCCAGGCATCAACAGCTGGAAACCTCTGGGCGCCGGCGGGAGCCGCGCCTCCCGGCGGGCGGGGTGCCGAGGGGTGGGGACCGCGCCCGCGGGAGGTGGGCTCGACCCGCCGCCGCCACCGGCCAGGTACGCGGCCGCTCCGCAGTCTTCCCTCCTCCTGCGCGCAGAGGCCCCAGAAGTTGCAGCTCGGGCTGCAAGGAGCCCGGGTTCAGGGTTTGAACAACAACAACAACAACAACAACAACAAAACACCGTTTTCAGAGCTTCCCTGATGAGGGTCAGGTCCCACGGCCACTGCAGGACAGATTTGTGGAGCCTTGGACCGTGCCCAGTCCTGGCGCGCGCGCGCGCGCGCGCACACGCACACGCGCACACACACACACACACACAGACACACACACACACACACATACACACCTGCCAACGAGTTCTTCCTTTCTTCCTCCCTCTCCTCCACCCTTCGAGGTAAAGGGTGGGTTCCTTTGATTCAACGTATTTATTATATACTTGCATACTTGCCTGGCCCAGCGAGGCCATCCGCGCTGCTCTCTGGGGATTCCCATTCTGTGGGAGTCAAGAGCTGCCCTATCCTTACAGTGGGCTGCAGTGCTGAGTCCAGCCAAGCTCCAGGGACCACCTGAAGGTGGGGATGCGGGTCAGAGGGTGTCCATGAACCAGGCTGCTGGCTAATGTTGAGCCGGGCAGGGAAGGGCAGTTGTGAAAGTGAAAACAGAATCGCCAATGTCTCGGCAGGGGGTGCTCTGGCCGGCTCTGGGGACCTTTGGAGCTCACAGACTGCCTTGGCCAGCGCCCCCTCTCCCCCCAGCATCAGCGATTCTGGTTGGTTTATCTCCCAGGCTGTTCTAAACTCCATGAGGGCAGGAATTGTCTCTCTGGCGCTGCTAGACCCTGTGCCCAGTCAGGCATACAACAGACCCTTAATAGAGATTCAGGCCCAGTGACCTCTAAGATTCTAAGCAGGGCCTCCTGTGAAATCAACTTGGCAGAAGTAAGGGAGAACTGGGATAGTAGTAGTGATGGGGGTCAAAAGGAGGCAGGCCAGGGAGGGGAGACATAGAATGGCAGGTAGGGTACTTGCCTTGCACACAGACAGACCCCCATTCAATCCCATCATCCCAAGCCCTGCCGGGGGAAATTCCTGAGTGCAGAGCCAGGATTACATTGCACTTTTTCTAACAGTGTAAATTATAAACCAATCAATCTGAAGTTTGCTTTTTTGCCTTTTGTGTTTGTTTGTGGGTCATACTGGGCAGTGCTCAGGATTCACTCCTCACTGTGCTCAGGGAACATGAGAGGTGCCAGGGATCAAACCTGGGTTGGCCAAGTGTAAGATAAAAGCCCTACCTGCTGTATTTTCACTTTAGACCCTCCATGTGAAGTTTCTTAATCTGCACTAACAAGGACATCTTCCCCTGTAGAAGCAGGCTTTTCCTGAAATTTTCCTTCTGCTAATCACCTGTCACACCCTCTAACAGTAAAAGTCTTCCATTTTGCACAATGCTCTTTGTAGAGTCTTTCCATTTGCTGGATACGAAGCTGTTGATTCACAAATAAAGCCAAGTCGATCTTTAAACTCCAAGGGAATTTTTTTTTCTACAAGTTTAGTGGCAGGCACTGTGGCACTGTTCTGTCCTCCCGTTGTTCATCGATTTGCTCGAGCGAGCCCAGTAACGCCTCCATTGTGAGACTTTGCTGTTACTGTGTTTGGCATATTAAGTACGTCTCCGGTAGCCTGCCAGGCTCTCGGTAGCTTGCTGGGCTCTCCGAGAGGGGCGGAGGAATCGAACTGTTGGCCAGACATGCAAGGCAAATGCCCTACCCGCTGTGCTATCGCTTCAGCCCTTAGTGGCAGGAAGAAATTCAAATGCTAAGTGAGCTTTTAGCATCATTTAGGGACAAGAAGAAATACAGTTCTCAGGTGAGAACTTGGTGGCATTCTCTTCCTCATTTCCTGGACACTTTGGGTTAAGCTTTGCCTTAAGTTCTTGAAACAGCCCTTCCTCTCATTGGCAACTTCATGGTGGCATCCTCTACCTGTTCCTAGCTAGTGACTTTGTAGACTGTCATCTCTTGGTTTAGTGTGCACTGGAAACTGCTTGAAGGGATGCCTGAGTTGTGCCAGGAACCCACCAACTGCCTGAGTTGGTCTGGGGATAACTTTGAAACTAGCTTCAGGCATAGCTAACGGGAGTAAAACTGACTCTGAGGCTAGCAGGATGGCAGTGTGCCTCTGAGTCAAGGGGTCATTTGATATCCTTAGAAATATCATTGTTGGGCTGCAGCGATAGCACAGCGGGTAGGGCGTTTGCTTTGCACACGGCCAACCCGGGTTCGAGTCCCAGCAGCCCATATGATCCCCTGAGCACCGCCAGGAATAATTCCTCAGTGCAGAACCAGGAGTAACCCCTGTGCATCGCTGGGGTGACTCAAAAAGAATTATTGTTTGAGGCTGGATAGTTAATATAGCCCGTAGGGAGATTGCCTTGCATGTGGCCGACCTGGGTTCAATCCCCAGCATCCCATATGGTCCCCTGAACACCATCAGGAGTGATTCATGAATGCAGATCAAGGAGTAATCCCTGAGCATCACCAAAAAGAAATATTATTGTTGATGATAAAAGCAGACAAATATTTTAAATGATTTTTTCAAAGTAGTTTTTCTTAATCCAAGCAACATGTGTTCATAGGTAAAAAAAAAAAAAAAGCTAACAGAGGTAAATAGGTATGTCAATCCTTTGACATAAGCATTTTTGTTTGCAGTGCCAAGGAGGAAATTCGGGTCTCATGCATGCAAGACTTTCTCATTGAACACATCCCCAGCCCCTAAGTAGCAACTGTTTGAAATATTGAAAAAGCTATCTTTTTTTTTATACATCAAATCTTTGAAAGACCAGAGGCCTAACTCCAAAAATCATTCAAAACCTACTATTCTACAGCCCCTTCCTATCCCATGTCATCTCAAATGCTTGTGTGATTTGTAAATTTGCAAAATTCCTCATGTTGGAGTTGGAATACTTTTTCTTTTCTTTCTTTTTTTTGGGGGGGGGGGGGGTCACACCCGGCAATGCACAGGGGACCATATGGGATGTTGGGAATTGCACCCGGGTCGGCCACGTACAAGGCAAACGCCCTATCCGCTGAGCTATCACTTCAGCCCCGTAATAGTTTTTCTGAGCCAGAGCTAAACCAATACTTGAAAAGTTAACTTTAGGGAGAAATTTATCATCAGAAAAAGGAAAGGAGGTCCAGAGAGAGAGAGAGAGAGAGGGGACCGAGTTTGCCTTGCATGAGGCCAACCAGGTTTGATCCCCGGTACTCAGCCAGGAGGGATCCCAGAGCACAGATCCAGAGCAAGCCCTGAGCACTGCCAACTATGGCTCAAAACATAAAACCACAACCAAAAGAAAAAGAAAGAAAGAAAGAAAGAAAAATCAAGAAAGAAAAAGGAATTACTGAAAAGTGAAATTTTATTTTCAATGTCCGAGTAGTAGAAACATTCTTAAATATTTTCTCTATGCCTTTATAAACTTACATTGAAGTTATATTGTACCTGTTTCATTACTAACACTGCAAATGAAAACTTGGTGGCATGGAGAGAGAGAATAGTTGACCTGAGGTCCCCAAAGTTCCGCCAGGAGTGGCCACAGCTGGGTGTAGTGCGCGTGCGCGCGCACACACACACACACACACACACACACACAGATAAGTTCAAAAGAAAAGTAGGAGATCTCTGTATCCGTTTGTATGTCATGTGTCACTCCCTCTGTGCACATATATTTAATGTGTACATGATAACTTGATAACTTTTCTGGGGGGAGGGGTGATGGGGATACCACACCTGGAAGTGCTCAGGGCTTACTCCTGGCTCTGCCCTCAGGAATCACTCCTAGCAGGTTCAGGGAAACATAGAAATGCCAGGTATTAAATCCAAGTCATCTGCATGCAAAACATGCACTACCCACTGTACTACCTCTCTGGCGCCTGTACATTTTAACTTTTAACTTTGGGTGGTAACGTAAGAAACTTTTTTTTACCTACCTCAGTAGAAGCACTTATTATAATTTGATTTTCCTAAAACTGTCCACTTTTTATAAAATAGACATGGTTTCAGAGTTTACAGGTAGACATGCAACTTTTTTCCTTATCTGGGTTTCTTGATCAAATAGCACTGCACTGTCCGCTATAGCACTGTCCTCCCATTGTTCATGAATTTGCTAGAGCAGGCACCAGTAACGTCTCCATTGTGAGACTTGTTGTTACTGTTTTTGCCATATCGAATACGCCACAGGGAGGGAGCTTGCCAGGCTCTGCCATGAGGGCAGGATACTCTCGGTAGCATGCCAGGCTCTCCGAGAGGGACGGAGGAATCCGTGTGCAAGGCAAACGCCGTTCCCGCTCTGCTATAGCTCCAGCCCCTTGATCAGATAAGCTCATATTATTCCTACTACTACAAAATCTGTAAACAAGAAGAATATCTGAA